ATGCCATCGCGTCAGGCTAGCCGTCCGCGTCAGTGAGTCGGGTCTGCCGTCTGCGTCTAGTCCCAGCCTCCCAGGCCATCTGCGCCGCTTCCCCAGCAGGCCTTCATGTCAGTCCGCGTCAAGTCGCCAGCCTGGCCATAGGCGCCCATCTCGTCCCTCCGCGTCTCCGCCAGGCCATCTGCGCCGCTTCCCCGGCGAGGAGCTCGCTTCTGCTGCCGCGTTCGCGTCTGCTACCGCTGGCCCGCCGTTGCCACGCGATCGCAATCCGAGCTCGCGTCTGCTACAGTCGGCCCGCCGTTGCCACGCGATCGCAATCCGAGCTCGCGTCTGCTACCGCCGTTGCCATGCGATCGCAAACCGTGTCGGGTTCGGGTCCCAAAACTCGACCCGTTTTTACAAACGAGTCGGATTGACCCGAATAGTGCCGGGTCAGTTCCGGATTCGACCCGAACCCGACCCGTGACCCGAAATTGACACCCCTAATTTTTATTCAATATTTGAAAGAGATTACCTGACAGACTACGGGAATACAGGGGCTGCTGTGATGTTTCTACTGAGAAATGCAAATGCTGTGGCTCCATATCTGCCAACAATTTTGGAAAATGATCTTATGAAGGATGCCAAAGCTGCTACTACCTTGGAGGGTCTTATTGCTGAAGATCCTTTTCCAAGTGAAGATCTTGATGAAGATAGTGATGCAAGTGGTGGAGCTGCAGGTTCTGCTTCACAAGACTACATTCAATTTGGAAACCACTCGGATGTTGCAGAGGATGAAGGATGGATAACAATTCCGAAAGGTATGCTTCTCACTAATTACATGCCTTCAGAATGCTGGTCATACATGATTTGCTATAAGTATGCTTATATTTGATATTACTGTGTAATTCAAAACCATAGTAAGATGACCCGGTTGATACTGTATCTTAGTATTATGGATAATTGCACAGTGTTTGATGTACTATAGAAAGGATATACATGATGTGAATTAAAAACTTTGGTACGTATGAATTTATATTTAAAATTATTTTGAAGCTCTATGGTCAATTTGATTTTTTTTATATTTATGCCTGTTTCCATATCAATGCGAAATGCTGGATTTATTAGATGATAATGAAATGTAGTGTAGATTTTTTTGTGATAATTATGCCGGACTACTTTTCATTCATTCAATCCTAATTAATAAAGTCAGGATTTGTATTCGTAAAACTATGTTGAAAATTCGTGCAGAAGTTCTATGAGCTGCAGTAGAAGTCATGGAAAACTATGTTGAATACTTTGAGAGTTGAAAATAACAATTAATGTTGTGGTATTTATGCTGGAAGTTCAATCAAGAGGATTCTTGGTGCTGAATTAGAAGATAGAGAGATTAAGAATCTCCTGACAAGAATTAAGTAGAAGTTCTTAAGCGGGTTCTTAGATTCACCCTCGAGATTGCGGGCTCTGAAAATTCGTGCCCCGGCCTTTCTGCATCCCCTTTCTTTTTCTTCAGATCATCCAGGAGAATTTTAGCATGTAAGTTCCGAGGAAAATTTTCAAAAGGACGATTGGGTTTTGAATAAGACATTACCCAGCATGTTTCCTATAGGCGCAAGCCCCTATAGTTAATTACCCCTCTCAATAGCAAGAGGAACTTTAGATTATTACCGTTGAAGGTGTTGAATTTTGGGACAAAGTATCCTTTCGGGTATGTCACTTGGTCGTATTCAGCAGGATATGGATGACCTTTGCCCACCAATCTTTTCTCTTGATCAACGACTATAATTATCTTGATTTTCTCGGTGATAATTCCCTCAAGTTATGCAGCCGTCACATGCTCATAGTTACTTTCATTATTTTGCGGAGTGGGCCGGCGAGTAATGTTTTAAACCTCATGACCACCTTCAGGAGCACCCCGTGCTCCTAAAACTTGAGGCATTTGTAGGTTTGGAGGATCGGTAGGAGGATTTGGCATGGGACCGACGACAACAATCCTCTACATCATTTGCATCATTGTCGCTATATAGATCATCATCTCAGTCATCTTCTCATTCAACTGAGAGATTTTTCTGTCTTTAGCCCTCATTTGCCATCTCATCTATCTTCGCATGTCCGCGAGCATGACATTTTCAGCATTCAGAGGATTCTCCTTGACCTCTTCTTCTTCTTCTTCTTTCGAAGAGTGGCCACCTCTGTCGGCGATGGACTCAATCTCATAGTGATGTCGGTGTACTTGCCTAAGCGGCGGTTTCCAATTATCATAATCTCACCGTCATTGTAATAGGCCCCATTATCAACATTGGTATGCCTCACCATATAAATTACTTCGACGTTCATGACGTCATCTATTTCTTCCTCTTCTTGTACTCGGATATCCGAGCAGAGGCGCCACTGGATTTCCAGTTCATTATTCGGCAGGAAGATTTCTTCGACCTGCGAGCTGCGATCAAAGTTGATTTCTTCCTTCGACGAGGTCGATAAACGATGGGATCCCTTGGAAGATTCCCCATGGTGTCGACCTTCGGAGCGGATGTCATCATGGGCCTTCTTTGGGACTCATTTTTATGTTTGTTGGCGGCGACGGATCTCCGGGAAGTTGCATCGGATGTCACGCCCAGGTTTATCACTCTCTTCTCTACGAGGCTTCAGCCTCCAGATTTTCTTGCCTTTTCATCGGGACCTTTCGGCGACATATCCCAAAACCCGTGGTTTAGGTGTCACACCCCAATGTTCACCGCGCAGGGTCGATCTTCTTTCTCTTCTCTCCATCACGATAGGTAGTAATCTTTCCCTTGGTGTGGTTCTTCTAGCCGCAATCGTCAACGGCCTTAGGACTCTCTTCTTCTTCAGCCATTTATCCTTTACTGTCTTTAAGACTCGGTATACCCGGGCCAAAAGGGTCTCGAGTTCTTTCTTCTTCGGAGGGACTGGAGTTTCAGGCTAATGGTCCTAGAAGCACTTCTTCAGCTCCCCGGTGGAGCTATTTCTTTTAACCCATCTCAGGCCCGCGAACCCATTTCGGATAGGAATGATAGCTTCTGAATCTTGGGCCGACAGATTCGATTGGTGTATGGGTAATTGTTGTTGAGCTAAAGCTCAAAATTCTTTCTTCTCCTCTATCTTCTTGTAAGTCTTCCTTCAGGTATGGAGGCTTGAACATCTTGCTTCCCAGGTGCAGGTAACCTAGTTGGCAGAGTAGTGGTGTTTGCAGTCACCATTGAGATCCTTCCTTCGGCTATAACCCTCTTCATAGCTGGGGCTTTTGGCTGAGACAGTTGTTCAAATACAGAAATCATTCTTCGATAATCTCCACCATTAGGTCGTTGTGTTGGCAGGTATGCACAACAATTAGTAGTTTCGACAGTGGGTCGCTGCGCTAGCAGATGCGCATGATGTGTAATAGCTTCAAAAGAGTGGAGCTTTTTAGTAGGCCCTTTAAATGCCATGTCGTACATAGGGACAACAGTAGCCATTGTAGTAGCTACAGGGAATTGTAGCCCACTAAATTGAATGGTGGCTCCAGTAGTGCCAATATTGATCACAGCATTTGCTAGCTTGATACTAGCACCACGTCCTAACTGGATGGTGAAGGAAGTGTTATGTAGATCCATCTGTACAAATGAAAGATAAAAATTGGTTATCAGCATCTTGTATATCACCCCACATTTTTAAAATGCAAAGACTGACACATAGCAAAATAACAAAAAAAAAAATATAAGCAAACAATTAAAATAAATTAAAACCCCGCTTGATGAAATCTTCAGTGAATTTGTTGAATCATCATTTTAGAATATTTAAGATCTCAATTCGTCAAATGATTGTTTCGAGAGATTTGAAAGTTAGAGCCCATATTGATTAGCTGCTACCACAGCGCTTGAGAAATCAAACCCAAACGGAGTCGTTAGAATTCCGTGGGCTCCGAAAATTCGCGCCCCGGCCTCCTCTGCTTTCAAGGGAGTTTGAATAGATTAAGTTTCGGGATAAATTTTCAAAAGGCATATTGGGTCTGTAGATAAGACACCACCCAGAGATTACGCCCTCATTTTATGAAGATTTTATGATCGGAGTTCTGATTTCTTATAGTCATAAGTCACTATAGTTAATTACCCCTCCCGATAACAAGAAAGAACTTTCGATTAAGGCTAGTCATCAAATGAATATGTTGTATCCTTAGATACGTGATATTCGGCATATAGTATCAGCATGGGTTTATGTATTTCAAATTGAATATTTAAAATTGAAAATCTTACCATCTCGCACTTAAAGCGGATGGTGGCGGAATGGATGATGGACCCGATCAAGATCTCATGGTTTCATCGTCCCGGTTCAACATGGTTTCTTGTTTACTTGGTTAGAGGATGTAGTCGACCCAACCTGACAGAAGAATCCTTGTCGGTAGCCATGGGTTGCGTCGTCCAAGGGTACCTTATAGACCTAGGTTGAGTGTTTACCTAAGGGGACAAATTTCATCCACCTTAGCTAACAGAGTGCTTTGTGCCCTATCGATTATATCTTATTGATTCATATCTCAAAGATTTGATGTCGTTGGGGAGCATACATGATCTGCCATGACCGTAATTTAGTGGTGTCATTTGGCGGCAAACTACCCGGTTCAGATGTCCTCGATCATAAACATTTACCTGCGGTGCCATTTGGCGGCAAAACCGTCGGTTAGAGGACATATGTCACGTCCTTACTAGCAAGAAATTATTTGAGAATGAATCATATTGATATTCTCGACTAGACATTAGCTCTTTGTGAGCTGAAATGATATTCAAATTATCCACATCGGCAAACTGTTGCGGAGGGTGGATGGATTTTGCTTTAAGTGTTTTGATGTTAATTTTGATTTTAAATATTTTGAATTTTGGTTATTTCTTGGAGTTTGGATTCATGGGTATTTGGGTGGTGTTTGAATGTTTGGAATTAAACCATCCGATTGAGATTTTCGATCAACGTGGACATCATCGAGGTATTTACAGGAAATTTCATCTTGTTGGTTGGACCTTGTCGATCATGTCCACTTGTCAACAGAGGATAGAATCTGTTGTGGGCTTCAAGTTTTTATTAGTGGATTCTTCTTGTTATAAACATTGAAGGCCTAATATGAACATATAAAATCAAATATCCCTACTGATACCATGACCGTATATTTGTTTGATGGTTTGAAGCTGTGTCGACTTCTATCTACCCGCATATAAAGATTTGGCTCGAACTGGGGCTTATTGTTTATCCCACACAGCATCCCTAGATGTCAAGTGTGTGCCCATAACACACTTGTCGAGGCCCATATGGGTGTATGATTGCATATGCATTTTTGTGTTTACGTGTGTACATATCACAATGCATGTGCAGGAGTATTTTTGAAATATTTGGAATTTTGACGGGTCTTTTACGACAGCTTGTAGAAGTTTGTATCTATTGTTGTTCTCTTTTATATTTGCCTGCATATGATATGTTAAGTGCACGACGGGCCTTCTACAACGACCCTCGGATGCTTGCATTTGCTGTAGTATCATCAGCCTTTGCTCATAACGGGTCAATGCATTTTCTTAACATTGAACGGTTATTGAACGTAAAGGTGATGTAGCATTCATTGCCTTCTATTACGATGACTTATAGGTGTGTAGGCATCATTCATCGTTGTCATATGGCATTTTGTTCTCAGATGACATTTTGTGTGTATAGCGAGTCTCTTACAAGGGCCTGCAAACACTTGCATTTGTTGCATATCATCTAGTGTTTGCTTGCAGATTGAATATAGAATGTATGACAAGTATCCTACAACCCCATAGATATTTGCAGTTTGCTATGCATCATCTTCTCTTGCTTGTAGGGAGCCGATGCATTCGACTAATGTTGGACAATCGTTGGCTTTACGTGCATGAGGATCAGTGTATTTGACTATCGTTGTATTGTTAAATATGAAGGCATTGTGACAACTCGTAAGTACCTCGCATACATCAATTGTATGTCCTATATGTTTTGCTTGTGAATGTCATTGTTTTCATTACATTCATCTTTTCATTAGTGTTCAAAAGGAGCCTTTCATATTCATCGCATGTCAATCATCATTGCTTGCGGGTAGATGAGCATGCTCGTTTATGAACTGATGCTGATTGCTGGGTGGATTGTACTCATTGCAGATATCCTCCACATCTGTTCATCGGCAACTCAACATGCTCATTGTATGTTGACTTTCAGCTTTCGTAGGCAACTACTGCATTTATCCACGAGTTAACTGTCATTGACTAGAGAAAAGTCATAATACTCATTGTATGCTTTCATCGACAAGATGTTGCATTTGCTAAAGAGTTTTGCATATTTGCCTGCAATCAAACTGTATATTCCTTAATTTTCATTGCCTGTGGGGTTGGATACCTTTATTTCTATTTTGATGTCGATTGTGGAGCATTGTTACATTCATTGCATATTGATTTTCAATGTTCGTAGTGACTTCCGCATGTACTTGTAAGCTTGCTACATGAAGTGTTATTGTTTGCAGTCTAGTCAACATGTTTGCGTGGTGTTGAATAGCATTGGTTGTGCATAGGCATCATTCACTCAACTCATTGGATGCTTCAAATCGTCATGGCATATTTTGACATTCATTGGAAGTTCTGTTTTGCTTATGTGTGGGTTATTAAAGATCTCATTTGCTTGAAGTTCCCTCCACCACAAGTCCTTTGTTTATTCATTGATGTTCATTTGAATGGCTCAAATCATTATCTAGCATTTGTATATATATTTTTTTTAATTTCGTTGTGCATTTGACAAACTAAAATTCAGTTCCCTACTAATTTATTTAAGTCCAAGTTCTTGTTAATCATTCAATTCAAGTTCTCTATTGATTAGTTCATATTTAGATTTAAGTCTTTCAAGTTCCTTGTGTTCACTTGAGTTTGAGTTTAAATATAGTCCCCTATTTTTGTTCAAGTTACTAGATGTCTTCAGGCTGAATTTCGGCATCCTTCCGGCATTTCCTCCGTTTAGGAAAAACTACAGGAGATTGGGCCATCCCACCATGCTACGAGAGTGTGTCGGATGGTAGGTGTCGGATGACACCGCGGCCATATTTCTTCAATCCCACCACGTACGAGAGTGTATGGGTCTTCAAGGTACCTGTTTCATGACGTAATTAACTTTCCCCGTCACACTATGAGAGCGTGTACAAATACTTAGAAATGTCCCCGCCACGCCACTAGAGCATCACCTACCCGCCTCATCGCAAGTGTCGCACCGAGCTCCCTCCTATCGTGCTACGAGAGCGCGTAAAGGGCGTCCACTGGTTCGCCCCAAATGTCAAGAGCGGGGTTTTTGAAGTTTAGGATTTTATACTTGCGCGATGTTGACGACAACGGGGTGGAGGACGGCGAAATCACAAATGCACAAAAATTTTCTTTCTTTTCCTTCTTTCTCTTTTTTTATTTTTATTTTCCCTCTTTTCATTTTTTTTATTTCTCTTTCCCTTCTTTTTTTTATGTGTGCGTGTGTGTATATATATATATATATAAAGAGAAATGAGAGAGAGAACTAGAGAGAGATCGGGTGAGGCTCTTTAGACTGAGGGTAGAAAACGGATGAGGGAAATGGTTCGGTCTTTGCTCTGCTTGGAACAGGGATATAGACTGGCAGGTTGAAGTGTGAGGGATAGATGTGGATTTTTGGCAGAGGAAGGGACCGGTCCAGCAAGGTAGGGGAATTCGAAGGTCGTTCGGGTCTAGGGGTGCGGGGTTTTGCGGCACAGTAGATAGGAGAGCTGCAGCTTCATCAGTCGATGGGTTGGATGAGTTTGGAGTTCGGCTTCAGCAGTCACAGGAGTCCGTCGAGAGTGGCTAGCAGGATCGGATGCAAGCTGGGGGGATTTTGGTCTACTATTGGAGAAGTTGGACTAGAGGAATCAAGATAAGAAGAAGGCAGGAAGGGGAAGAAGTCGGAAGCTCTTGTGTGCGTGAGGTCTGCGAAAAAAATGACCGAATCGAGAGATGTTTGTCTCTCGATTTATTAATGAAGGCAGAGGCGGCATCGAGGCAAGCTATGCACGCGAGGAATGGGCTTCGACAGGTACGTAATGATTTAGCAAATATTTTATTCTTCTTTTTTTTGTTCTACCGCAGAGGTCAACAGTTTCTTACTTTGTTAGATTTTTAGTGTCTATGGATTAGAATTCCACTCTAATTTTTTAATATTGTTAATATTATGCATATTCTGGCTAGTTTTATAGTTTTTATTTTGATAAAAAATAAATTAAGTTTTAATTATTGATTTTTATTAAATTCTTTTTTTACTTGGATTTTTTTTGTTTCGGTGATATTTTTTCTTTCTTTCTATTTTACAGGTAAAATTCCTAATGATTGGCTTGAAGCATCAGATATATTAGAGTTGCGTCATTTGGACAGGTCTTTTGTTTTCTTCGGTAGCTATCTAACCTTCTCGTGGCAGCGATATCCTCCTTAGGTTCCCTCTAAAATAATCTGACATATTTTCATCTTTAAGGCGAACAGCTTCATATATTGGTATGCTTATCAGCAACTGAGCAAAATGAACAAATCGTCACTCCATTTAAGGTTGCTGCTGTTATGTCAAGAAACGATAGTTCTTCACCGAATAGGATGCATCATAATGGGATTTCAGGTATTACTTATTCTGTTAATGAGGAAGTGTTTGCGAATGGCAAGCTTGATAGAGATGCAGGATTACATAACGGGAATGATCATACTTTGTCAACTGCAGAGAAGATGGATTCTGAGCAGGAGATAACTGTAACAAAATCTTTGCTTCAAAAGGAGGGCCATCAGCAACAGATAGAAACACTTCTAGAAAGATTTAGGCGTTCAAATTTCTTTGTCAGACTAGCCGAGTCTGATGAACCACTGTGGTCTAAAAGATATTTAGCAGAATCATCTTCAACCAAGTTAGAGATGGCAGGGGGGATATCACATTCAAATTATGGGGCTTCAAAACAAGGATACCATAATCTTCTCAGTACAGTTATTGATCAAGGAAGTTTTGACTGCAATGCTTCTGGGGGGGTAGCTAGAGATACCATCAGATGTTATTCATTGTCCAGTGGTGACATAGTGGTATGTTATAAGCATTTTGATATGCTACTCTTTGAAATAGTAGTGAGATAGTGGTATGTTATTTACCTTTGAGATAGTGGTATGTGACCAGCACTGTCAGATGTTTCTCTTTGAAATCCTTGAAAAAATAATCTGTTATAAGCATTGTCAGATGCTTCAATTTGATATAGTTCTACATTTTTGAACTGCCACAATGTGGTATGTCAGATTCTACACGCTGACATAGTGGTATGTTATCTAACAATCATAATTAGGTATGCCAGGCACTGCTCTTTCATATAATAGTATGTTATAAAGCCTAGTGTAGTGTTATGAAATTATGTAACTTTTTTCTTTATTTTTTTCTTAAGTTTGGTGACACTCGAAAATAATATTTTATCAATTGAAATATTGTTGTCCAATGGTCTTTCAACTTCATACTAGAAAATAGAATTTGTGGATGCGTCAAAGGAAAAGGAAACATTACCAGAGAGGGTAACCGACTCATCCCAGGAACAAATTTAGAAAAATTGTAAGCACATCGCAAGAATGATTTGACACCTGAAGAACCTTGAGAAAATTACTTGATGCAACATAACAACTATTTTGCAACAATTTAGGTTAATGTTCTAGCTTATGATTTAAAAGATTACTTCTTAAGATTCCATATGGAAATTGTTCACATTATGCATTAATAAATACTAGTAATCCACTCCTTAACACTTGAATAACCTCATAAATAAAGTTCCATGCATATCATGGCATATTCTATTTTAATTTCCATTGGTTTCTAGGTTTACTGAATTTTGTTAGGAGTGTAATAGCTTCCATTCCACTGCCATTGTCGACAACATCATCATCTTAATATGAACTATGAAAAACATGAAACTGTTACTTATAATCATTTTAACTTTTGCCAATCATTTTCCCTGCCCAGCCCTCTTGAACCAATTTTCTATTATATGTCACTCAAAGAATAATAATATAAACAAAAAATGGTGAAAATCGTCCCCAAACTATTTGTGGGGAGTCATTTTAATCCCGAACCATTTAAAATATCTAATTTAACCCATTCACTCCTCAGATATGATCGCAAAATAATTATATAATTCATGAATAAGGTGAGGAATGAGGATATTCAAAGCAAATCAAGATGTATAAGAATTTAAATTTCCCAAACGTGCAAAAGATGTATAAAAACTTCATTTTCCCAAAATCCTTTTATCCCCCATCTCATTCTGAACTTCAAGAGAAATTTCTATCAAATCAAACTTCGATTCTAACCGGGGGACTATTTTGGACCATATTTGAGTCAAAGAGCTAAATTAGACATTTTAAATAGTTTGAAACCAAAATGGCCTTAAAACAAATAATGCAACAACTATTTTAATCATTTTCTCAAATTTATAATACCTCCATCAATATCGTTCTGCCACCTTAGCATTGCTTTGATCCCTATGCAGCACTAACAATATTACTTTGATCCCTATGCAGCCTAACATTGGCTATCTTCTTATCATTTAGGTCCCCGTGACCTTTCGTATACCACATATCTTTACCATGGAACGTTACATCATCACCTATTCTTTTGAGTTAAAAGCTCAATAGTATTAAATAAATAATTAATTAGAAGCATAATAATTCCTTAGTCTCTAATACATTTCAGGTAGTTCCTTAGTCATGAGATGAAAATTGTAAAGCATTTAACTGATTTCTTTTTTCATTCAAACTGGCGTTGGATTTTCCTGCTGCTATTATGGCTATTATGGGTGATTTGATTAGTCTTCTTTTCTTCTTCCATGCTCCCATCATTTATGAATATTTTATTGCTCGCTTCTTGGTTTTGCCACTTCATCTCTTTTGCTCATTTTGCAACGTTGGTGTTCTTTTTATCATTATTATTTCCTTGAGCATTTGACCTCTTTGTTCTCTTTCATACTTTGTCTTACTTCATCTCTATGGCTTAGTTTTGTATTGCAATATTGTCTGTTTTAGCCTAGAAGATTGATAATATATTTCTGCCATAAAGTGATTATTAACTGATGGTGTTCTATGTGCACAACCTGATGTTTAACAATGAAAAATGGGAGCGTCAATATTGAGCATTGTTTAAATTGACCTCATTTACCACAAAGCTGCTGCTTATAATAAGCCTGATTAATGTTACATCGAAATTTGTCATAGCTTTTGATCATTTTCAAGTTTAATACTCATGGATAGAGTATATTTCCTTAATCACCCTACTTGTCCCTCATATTTCAATTTTTTTGCTCCTTTACTATAACCAATACCAACTTATCATATCAATTACATTTTTTGGAAGGATGCAGGTTCTTTTGCAAGTAAATGTTGCAGCTAGCAATATGAAGGATCCTATGCTTGAGGTTCTTCAGTTTGAGAAATATGAAACTATTGCTCATTTTGAGAAATCAAGTGATTTACATACTTCAAATCATTACAATCCCTGTGGGGAACTTCTCGATTGGTTGCTCCCTTTGGATATTACTTTACCTCCTCCCACTCCCTTGTCACCTCCCTCTCCCTTAGTACAAGCTGCATCATTAGGTACTCAAAGGTCGGCATCATCTTCCCATGCTGGTTCACCGATTTTCTCGTTTGGTCACTTCAGAAGTTACTCCATGCCATCACTCCCACAAGTTAGTACGCCACCTATTACTGCCGCTGCTTATAATTCAAGAACTGGTTTTGACATCGAAGATTTATATCGTTTCACATCTGGGATTTCAAAGAATCAGGATATGGGAAATGAGGAACTTTTATCTTTTCGAGGCATTTCTCTTGTGCCAGAACGTTTTTCTGTTCATTGTGGACTTGAAGGTATCTACTTACCTGGCAAGCGATGGCGGAGAAAGCTGGAAATTGTTCAACCATTAGAAATTCAAAGTTTTTCTGCTGCATGCTCTACAGAGGATGTTTTGTGTATTCAGATCAAGGTGCCATTTCAATTTTCTTGTTGCTACATTAACCTAGCTTTCCTTGTTTGCAAGATTTCTATATTTTCTACTTAGTTTACCATCGCACTTTTTCATTTATTGCAATCTAGTGGATCATCAAATATTTTCTCTAAGTGATCATGAAGTATTGAAAGAGCTTTTCTTCATTTGGCAGAATGTTTCGCCATCACATTTACCGGATATAATTATATTTTTGGATTCGATTACTATTATATATGAGGATGCATCAAAAGGTGGTCCACCTTTGTGTCTGCCCATTGCAAGTATTGAGGCAGGAAATGGCCACACTTTACCGAATCTTCCCCTCAGGTTTTATTTATGCTCTTTTCTTGAATCTTCTTTAGTGTTATATTCATATAGAATATGCATGCTCTTCTCTAACCTTATCAGAGAATGAAACATACTGATATTTCCATCTAAGGGTATGTATGGGTGTCAAATCAGTATGGCAACAATAATGGTCGTGTATTCTCAATTATAAAACCAGCATTTTCTTACTATTTCTTTCGCAGGCAGTTCCCAGGTATTCAGAGATTATTCTTATGTAGACAGATCCCATTGTTTTGATTTCTTACCATCTTTAAAATAATTGTTTTTATGATTTGAGAGTTCATTCTTGTGGTTTATTCTTGCAAATTAGACTTGCTACTTTTTTTATTGACTTTTACCATTACAGCATTATATGTTCCTCTAATGCATGCTTTTGATACATCTTTCCAGCATTAAATAAGAAGTTTTGTTATAAAAATTGGTTTAATTTTAAAAATTATGATAATTGGGAAATATATAAAGTGGCTCGTAAGGATGCTAAGAAAGCAATAAGCGATGCAAAGACATTAGCTTTTAGTGATTTATATAATAGATTAGATACTAAAGAGGGAGAAAGATATATGTATAAGTTAGCCAAACAAAGAGATAGGAGTAGTAAGGATTTAGTTCAAGTGAAGTGCATTAAGGATGAAGATCAAAAAATACTTTTCTTAGAAGATGATATTCAACAAAGATGGATGAGATATTTTGCTAAACTTTTTAATGAAGATTGTGAAAATAATATTGACTATAGTGACCTTAGCACCCTAAATGAAAATAAAGATTTCTGTTTTTATCGGCATATTAGTAAAACTGAAGTTAGAGAGGCTTTAAAGAAAATGAAGGGTGAAAAAGCTGTTGGACCTAATGATATTCCAATAGAGGTGTGGAGATGCTTAGGAGATGAAGGAATTTCATGACTTACTAAACTTTTTAATACTATTTTGAAGACTAAAAAGATGTCAGATGAGTGGAGAATGAGTGTGTTAATTCCTTTTTTTAAGAATAAAGGTGATGCACAAGATTGTGCGAATTATAGAGGTATTAAGTTAATGTGTCATACTTTAAAACTATGGAAGCTAGTTATGGAGCATAGGTTGCGGCGTGATACTAATGTTTCTCAAAGTCAATTTGGATTCATGCCGGGTAGGTCGACTATGGAAGCCATACATTTATTAAGAGGTTTGATGGAGAAATATAGAGAAAATAAGGAGGATCTACATATGATATTTATTGATTTAGAAAAATCATATGATAAAGTTCCAAGAGAAGTGCTATGTAGAGTTCTTGAAAAGAAAGGAGTTAATAATGCTTATATTCAAATCATTAAAGATATGTATGCAGGAGCTATTACTTGTGTTCAAACATAAGGTGGATTGACCAAGTATTTTCCTATTTCGGTTGGGTTACATCAAGGATCAGCCTTAAGCCCATATCTTTTTGCTTTAGTCATGGATGTTCTCACTAGACATTTGCAAGAGGATGTACCTTGGTGTATGCTTTTTGCTGATGATATTCTTCTTGTTGATAAGACTAGAGAGGGAGTTGAAGGTAAACTTGAATTATGGAGGTCAACCTTAGAGTCTAAAGGTTTTCGCTTGAGTAAATCTAAAACGAAATATTTGGAGTGTAATTTTAGTAGTAATAGACCTAGTGAGGGGATTGTGACTTTGGGCGATCAAGTCATTAATAAGAGTACACGTTTTAGATATCTTGGATCTATTGTTCAGAGTGATGGTGAAATAGATGGGGATATTATCAGCATAATTCAAGTTGGATGGTCGAACTGGAGGAATGCATCGGGCTTGTTATGTGATAGAAATGTACCCCTCAAACTTAAGGGAAAATTATATAAGATGGTAGCGAGGCCTGCTATGCTTTATGGTGCCGAATGTTAGCCATTAAAAGAGAAGCATAATACTAAGTTAAGTGTGACAGAGATGAGGATGCTTAGGTGGATGAGTGGCTTTACCCTTAGAGATAGGATACGAAATGAGCATATTCGTGAATAGGTTGGAGTAGCTCCAGTAGAAGATAAGATCATAAGATTAGAGATAGTCGCCTTAGATGGTTTGGTCACATAAAACGGCGACCTTCCGATGACCCGGTTAGGAGAGTAGAGGTATTAGATTTGACTTATGTTAAGAAAGGTAGGGGTAGACCTAAAAAGACTTGGTTAGAAAATAATATGAATGACCTTTCTTTATTAGATTTAAACGAAAATTTGACTTTTAATAGGACACAATGGAGAAAAAGGATTCATGTAGCCAACCCCACGTAGTGGTATAAAGGCTTGATGTTATTGTTGTTGTTGTTTTTGTTTTTCACCGTATTATTGTTCCTGAGTGTTTATTTGCAATGCACTCTTCATATTTTTAGCAAATCGAGAGGTGAATTGAATTCCTAGTTCTTTATGTATTATAACTTGGGCAATTTTGTTTTCCATGTAGATTGTATTGGCTATGATATATGTTATTAAGTTTCCGAGCTTGGAAAGAAAGTTCTAATTTTGATATGCAAGGAGAGAACTTTAGGGAAATTCAACTTTAGGGAAATTCTTAAATGATTAATCCATGCTATCCTTATAGGATTATTTTTCATATGTAATGATTTTGTGAAAGTATGCTTTGATAGAAAACTCGTATGCCTAATCCAAGAAACTCTATTACATTTTTTTCCAGTAGTATTCATTAGAGGTGTTAATATATGACACTACCCGAAAATACGACCCAGACCCGACCCAAAAATTTTGTTTCGGGTCGACCGGTTTAACAAAAGGGGTTTGGGTTTAAAATTTCGACCTGATTGCAATTGGTCGGCTTTGGGTTAACCAGCGAACCCGAATGCAAATTGTTTGACATGTCCATCGGTTAGAACTTGCCCGCAGCCTCGTCATCACCCGCTCGCCCTCGCCCTCGCCCTCTCCCTCTCCCTCTCCCCCACAGCCTTGCCCACACCCTTGTCTGCTCTCCTGCTCGATATGCTCAAGCTCGCCCGGTCGTCCGTCACACTCAACTGGTTCAGCTGGTCGTGTTGGGTTAGGTTTGGGTCTAGTTTTTTAACATGTTTGGACAAATGGGCGGGGTTCAGGTCAAACATATTAATGTGGGTCAATTTCGGATTTGATGCTATCCTAACCCGAAAAATTGTTTTGACATCCTTGGTATTTATTAGAAAATGATGAAAGATCATAATTTAATTTCTTTTTTTGGAGGTTCTTAAATAATTGAGATTTTTTTTTTCCTTGTAACTTTATCTAAAGCAACTTCTCAGTAACTTAATGGCCTGTTTGTGAAAAATACAAGCTGCTAAGCAGGTAAATGAGAGAGATATTGAATAGCACCTCTTACCAAAAAATTTTTGCTGTATTCCAACTTCATTGACCATTGTATATCATTCTCTATTTGGATTAGCCTCTATTTTTTTTTCCTTTAGTTTCATCTGTTTCTATTGATTATTTACATTAATGATAACAGGAGAGGTGAGGAGCATTCTTTCATTCTGAAGCCAGCAACCAAACTAGTTGGGAATCTTAAGGGCCATAGTAATGCACACGCTATGGTTTCACATGGAAAGGTAGGCGCAACTGCGTTGAGTTTGGCTTCAAATACTAGTGAGGTGAGAAGCATTTCACCAAGCATAGATCAGTACGCAATCTTGGTATCCTGCCGTTGTAACTATACTGGTAATATTCAGGCACAATATGACTTGAAATAAATGATAAATATTTCTTTTTTTTAACCTCCCTAATGCACTCTTCATTCCTGACAGAGTCCAAGTTATTCTTCAAGCAGCAAACAAATTGGCGTCCCCATATTGCCAAGGATCTCATGATCTCTGTAGTGTCAGAAATGTCTAAGGACCCTACTGGATTGAGCACAATATTCCCACAACTTCCATTCCAGGTTGAAAGAAATTCCCTTAGTTTGTATTTTATTTTTGTCAGAGCTTATTTATTATTGTTATTATTATTTTGTTGGCATTTGGAAAGTTTTGAGCCACTGATAAGGTCTTGGCATTTTACTTTTATCTGGGGTTATTATGTTTCAGGTGTTAACCCTCCATGCCACAAATTTAACATCTGAAGATCTCACTCTTACTGTTTTAGCTCCATTATCATCTTCTTCTTCCCCTTCTGTGGTTCCCTTAAGTTCCACACCAAGAACTCCTGTTAATGGTTTTAATGGTGTTCCTGAATTGATGGGAAGAGTTGCTGGGGATAAAAGTGCTAGCAGCATGCAGAGGCCGAGTTTCATGTCTGCTGTTACTGAGACCCAGAAAGTCCATGATTTTAGTGATAAAAGATTGATTTCTCTTGCTGAGCGGGTTAGTGCAACTTCTGAATTCATTTCGAGTACAAATCTTGGATGTACCCATCTGTGGTTGCAGAGCACAGTGCCCCTAGGGTATTGTATAACCTCAGTTCGTTTGATTTTTTTTTGACGTGAAAGAATGCTATATTGTAATTATTTCCCCTTTTTTTTGTTCTTTTGTAGACTTGTTTCAGCGCACTCAAGTGCTACTGTCAAGCTTGAGTTACTTCCACTAACTGATGGGATAATAACTCTCGACACACTTCAAGTAGCTGCTCAAGAGAAAGGTACGTTTTAGCTTGATTTTGATATTATATCTATTAAGCATGTAGCTGGTAACTTGTTAAGTACTTAGTGATGTAAGTAGATTTTGATGTTTCAATGAATCAAGCTCGAATGAACTCAAGTTTTGTTCTATTCAGCTCGCTAAGCAAATAAGACAAATTTTTGTTTCTATTTAGCTTTCTAATTTATTGAGTTGAATATAAGCTATTCATAAACATAGATACTTGAAAGTCATAAATATTAGAATACACATATTATCACATGCGTGCAATGCTTATGATCGACAATTTTGGGTTTTACAAACAACGGGCTTTTTTAATAGCTCTATATGTTGGTCCTATGCCTTCTGAAGTCTAGTATAGTGAGATATTGGTTAATTTTTCAGTTTTGCTCTTTAAAAGTTATGTGATCACAGATGATTCTCTAGGTCAGGCTTTGGAGAGCATACCATACTCATTTGGGTGACAAAAAATCAATATTCTTAAAACAGAGATAAAATCGTTTCATTGTTAAAAGCGTTTCATTGAACTTGAATACTGCCCAAAATTTAATCCAATATTTATATGATCTTTGATTTTTAAGTCATTTAAATCCTTGGCTTGAATTCCATGGGTTCCTTGCTCAATTTTCATAGGATCACCTTCATTTAATTTTTAATTGAGTGAGATTTTTTCATCTTTGAAATGTGAGATTCAACAGCCTTTCAAGCTTTCTAGATATCTGCAGCCTCATGTGCTGTAATTTCTGAATTTTTGCTTCCTTCCATCAACAGGAGTAACTTACACTCCAGAGCAGCCATTGAAGATCTATGCTACTTCCAGCATCTCTACAGGTATTATGTAGGCTACTTTCCATCATATACTTGATCAATACATGAATTCTCTTCTACATTTTGGACTAGCAATGTAAAGATAGAGGCATCATATCATGAGAGGATCCTAAGTAGCCACAGATAATTTTTTTTTCCAAGCTTGATGACTGCTACTGCAAATATATGGGCTCCAAATCACTTTTGATGACTTGAAGACCAGTTGAAAAGAAACTCTGATTGAGATAGCAGATTGGGCTGTTCTTCCATTGTTCTTTGTAGTTTGTTATGGTTCTTTAATAGCTTTGTTTATAAAATTGATGTTTGTGGGTTAAGCCCTGACATTGGCCACCTTTATCCAATATTCTATGTACAGATTGGAAATATGGATACAATGAATATAGAGATATCAATTACTTTTTAAATGAAATTTTGGTGTATTATACTTATTGAGTCTTTTAATCTCTCTCTCACCTATTTTTCAAAAATAAAAGCTAAGCTTCTACATGTATATTTAAGATACAATTAAACTTTAAACCCAATAAAACAAAATTCTATTCATGTTTCCTCATTAAATAATTAAAAAGCATGCACACTGGAAATGGAAATAAATGCAATTTCAAGGATAATCAGAATCTCAAAAGAACAAAAAGATGCCCAAGCAAGAAACTCCAGATTGCTGGACTAACAACAAAACAGAGTTTTACAACTTCTTGGTGATATCATTAGCATAAGCATTGGTCAAGGAGTACCTACAACACAAGAAATTATTCTGTGTGAAGGTTGGATGCATAATAAAATTCAGAGATCAACCAAAATGTGCAACATCAACAGTACCAAGCACAGTGACATGACACATTCTAATTAGCTTCAGACTAAGTTCTACGTCCGGCCTCTGCACAGAATAATTTATTCCTACAACACACAAGTAAATGTCAAAAATCTTCTACAACGAAATCCAATTGGCTAGTACCCAACATCAAGTAGGAACCAGGCCATAAGAAAACTCATCAACATCATCTCTCTGTATCATCATTATAATGGCAAGGCATATCATTGCAAGGGCAGAGACAAGAAAGAATTTTCTGTACCAAAGCTTAGTCATTCCACAAATCCCTGTTCTTTTCGGTTCTGCATCAGCAGATATGCCCGTCGTTTCGCTACCTTTATCCTCAGCTGGATCATTAGTTGATGACACAGATTCAATGCTTTGATGAACTTTTTCAGCATCAGTAATGAACTTCTGATGGCTCACAATGCTAATATCAGAATTCTGAGAATCAGACTCATCTGCTGGAGAGACTTCCTTTGTACAATCATTTTGATTCTGTAGAGATCTTACAAGCTTCCTAGGAGTTGTATAAATCTTTATGTCATCGAAGGTAAGCTGGTGCTTTGAACTCTGATAAACCAGCAAGAAAAATAACTAGTCTAGGAATTTCAAATACGGGGGATTTACATACATATCAATTTATTTCATGCTATTTACATATCTAACACTCAAAATATTAATATTACATGCCTACCACTCATAGAACAAATTTGGGTGCATGGAATGAAATTTTAAAGTTTGTATGATGGTATGAATGGTAGAAATGAATTATAGGAGTGATATATTTGATATTTAAGTTGTATATATGTGGTATGCATATAATATTAATGTTTTGGGTGTTAAATATATAAATAGCATAAAATAAAGTGGTATGTATGTAAATCTGAAAAATTTACATACATACCACTTTATTTCATGATATTTACATATCTAATACTCAAAACATTAATATTATATATCTACCACTCATAAAACGAATTTGGGTGCTTGGAATGAAATATTAAAGTTTATATGATGATATGAATGGTAGAAATGAATTATAAGAGTGGTATATTTGATATTTAAGTTGAATATAAGTCATAGGCATGTAATATTAATGTTTTGGATGTTAGATATATAAATAGCATAAAATAAAGTGGTATGTATGTAAATTTCCCTTTAAAGATCTGTTAAGGCGGTTAGAAATATGAATGCATCAAGGTAGTAGTACCTGAGGACTGGGAGTAGTATCTCTACTTTCTTTGCTTCCTGCATTGCTCAAAACAAATCCAGTGAAAGATTCAGCAAGCTCACTATTTCTATTTGCCCTGCTCATATCTTGCTTGCCTTCAACTTCTGCTATATCTTTGCTTGTTCTTTCCTTGGTGAGAAAGCTATCCTTGAAAGATAGATCTACACCACCAAGATCATTACTCCATAGTCTCCTCTGAGCACGCTTTATTGAAATTGGTGACTCGGTGAAATTTTCATTCTTAATTGAAGAAGTAATAGTCTGCGATTCCGGGGTTGGAAATTCAACAGGAGATGATTTGCCCAACTTGTCTAAAGCTACTTGCGGACTCTTCTCGTTTCTTCTGAGGAAATTGAGTTGATTGACAGGACTGGAAGAAATATCACATTTAGATCCTTTCTGCGATGCTACAGCCTTTGCAGTTTGCAATGCTTCAAATGCAGCACCACTAACATATGGCATGTGATCATCTTGACATTTCTCCATGGCATCAGCTACATCGGCAAGCTCGGAAGAGATGCTTCGCGAATCGATGCATTTCATTAAGAAATTGATCATTTGAATGGCTGCAAAGCGCTTCTGAGAATTATTCTCTGTGGTTCCTATGCTCAATTGGTGCAGGCCAGATCGAATTAGAGATCCTACATAAGCTTCAGCTATTGATGAATTATGCTTAGCTAAAGCCATGGCTAAACCCATGTGAGAATTTGTCTGAGTTGTCTTTTCTTCTAAAGCGCCTGCTATTTTCAGGCAGACATCATTGATGGTATCATCTGAAGCAAATTTCCAGTTGTTTGATTCAACAAGAACTTTGAGGCACAATGCAGATCCCGAAGCAAGGCTCTCATGTGAGCTCATCAAAGCATTGCTTAGAGGCTTAGTAAGGGATGAAATGATCTTCTTCTTCTCATCATCAGGAGTTGAAGGATCAATTCCATACCGAGCAATGGCCGGAACAACTCTTGAGCAAGCTTGATGAAGCGGAAAGGATCCTGCGCTTGTCGAAAGGGTTCGGATGATGGTGGTCATGATGCTTCCAATCTGTGGAACAATGTTGCGTCCATGGACTCGGGCAAGAACCTCGAAGAGTGATATTGTGCATTCTCCAGATGGGGAGCCTTGGTTGTTATTTTCTGAAACTTGAGCAAGGAATTGAGGAATGGCCTTACTGTCTATGTTTGTAGCATATGACTTGAGAGTTTTCATAGCAAGCCTTCGGCTTTCAGGGTCCTTCTCAAGTTTCTGCAACTCCTCCTGAACCAAAGGGTTGAGGTTTCTGCCCATATCTAGCACCACTGCAGGAATAAAAGGACCATTTGGTTTGCCAAAAGAAAAAAAAAAGTGGAAATGCTTTCAAGACGAAACTTTTATAACAACTTCTTACTTTAAAAAGAATAAGCTTTTGATTTGATGAAGGAAATTGTCATATAATGAAGATTATATAAAATATAATTGAATGTCAAAAGAAGATATGTCTTTCAGTGTTTAAAAACAAACGAAAAAATATTTTAGATACTCCACGTTAAAAAAATAATATAGCACCATATAGGGACAAATATCAATTATCATCATTAACCTTATCTCAAATCAACCTTATTTAGTGTTGCATGAGGTGGTTAACCCTATATCTTGCAAAACTTTTAATCCCGTAATCTTTAGTCCACCCTTCTCTTCCTCAATTATATCTATATCCTTTATTAGCACATCTTCAAAACTTAGTTTTTTTTATGCCAAATTACCCAACTTTATTTTCTATCATCTAATCTTCATTAGTTGCTATTTCTCTTTAATTTAACAATTCCTTACTCTATTCTTCCTCATTTTACAACATTCATCTTAACATATTCATATTATCACATTAAATATGACCAATAGCAACTTCTTTATTGCCCAATATGTAATCCATAAAGCTAGATGCCCAATCACTCAACTTTACTTTCTATTACCAAATCTTCAATAGTTACAGCTACTCTCCCTCAATTATAATCATTCTTCACCATATTCTTCCTATTTTTTATGATGTAGTTATCTTAACATATTCATATTATCACTCTCAGCTCAAATAATAGCAGCTTATTTGTTACCCAATAATATAATTCATATTACATGGCTAAATGCCAAATCACCCAACTTGAGGTATCATTATTTTAAGGGAAATTTACATACATAACACTTTATATCATCATATTTACATATCTAACACCCAAAATTTTAATATTACATACATAGCACTCTATATTATTTTAATATCAAATATGCCACTCATATTTCCTTCATACCACTCATATATTTTATTTCTATCACTCATATTTGATATGAAAATGAACTATGGGTGGTATGTATGTAATATTAAAGTTTTAGGTGTTAAATATGTAAATAAAATAGTATAAAATGGTATGTATGTAAATCTCCCTTATTTTAATCATCTAACTTTAATTCTAAAAGTTATATCTTCATCAATATCATCATTCATTTATTAAAAAAAATCAATAGAAAAACATATTGCACCTACTAACCTACATATCACTAATGATTTATCTGAAATAGCTTTTTCATTGTTTTGTTTTTCAAATTGCTGCCACGTATCCTTTTGGATACTATTTTTTAGAATTTTTTATGGTGAGAAGCTACATTTAAGAACCAAATATGCTAGAATGTGTTAACCATTAAAAAACTTTTGTCTAACATTAAAAAAAAAAATTATGTTTATACTACCCATAATAGTTTTCAAAAATATTTATTTCTCACAATAGATTTAAAATCACCTTTAAAAAAGCTACAATAACCCCAAACGAAACCTTAATATTTCTAAAATGATATTTAACAATTATCAATTTTACATTCACAAAATTAATATATAACTTACTCAATCTTACTGCTTATTTCATTTTTTTACTTGATTCAGAAAATCTCACTTATCAAAAATATGCTAGCTACAAATAATATACACTGAAGCACTTGATTGTAAATACATTTAATAAAAATCTCTATAACCAATATAGAATAATAAGAACATCTATACTATTAATAATGCTATCAGCTTATGATTACAAACTCTAGTCACTTCATACTGCTTCTAATGCTGGTCATTATCTTATCATCCATATATTTAATAACTTCAATAACCATTTGACATAACCTGTCCTATCAATATCTCAAGGTATATATTTTTCAAGATAAAAAATAAAAATAAAAATATATATCCTTTCATTGTTCTCTATATTTTCCATTAACTACTTTCGGTTAAAGAGCACCTCGGCAATGGATCTTCTACACAAAACACAAAACCAATGTTGCGATGCTCTCTCCGATAGTGAAAAACCAATACAAATAGTATGCACAATGAAGAACTCTGGGAAATTTTCTATGAAAGTTGATCTAAAACAAATTATCTTTTTTCTTCTCCTTTAAGCTTTAGAGGAGAAAATCAAGCATATCCAAGTTCAGAAAAGCAATGGACCTGGAGAAGAAAAACTTGCGTATAAACACTAAACAGAAATTTGTTGGCTTCTAAGTCCACGTTCTTCTGCAACTTGTTCTACCCTACAGAAAAATCCTTAATAGACTAGAGAAAAGAGGACAAGAAGGATGAGAAAAAAAAAACGGTTCATAGGAAAAAAAAGGTCTCCTTTAGAATTCGTCTTTCTTTCCCGTTTCCACCAAAGAGCAATTTATCTCCTTGTATCTCCTCAAAAACCACGGAAAAAAAAAATCTCCAAGATGGAAAGTACAACGAAGTAGTTAGAGATTCTTTAACTTCGAGGAGTTAGCAGAATCGTGTAAAAACAGAAAATTTGGAAAAAAAAAAATCTACAAGCTAGGCAAACAGAAGACTAACTTGTTCTCAGTCAAACCATATGAATCAACCAAAACGGAAAGAAATCTCCAAATTTTACTTGCCAATAGCGGATAAGCAGCTCAAGAACCCTTAAAAGAAGGATCTTGCCATCTTTGGTCTCCAAATACTCGACAACCCAAAATATTTGAATTTAAAAGAGGGAAAATAAGCCCAAATAGCAAATGAAAGAGAAATTCTCGAAACATTTATTAGATAAAACAAAAACCTTGGCTTGATGAAAATCAAGCGGAGAAGCTCGGAGGTTTGTCCTTGAGCAGATTTCTTCAACTTGCAGCTGGAGATTCGGATCTGGGAGCGACGACGAGCTGAGACGGCTCACATGATTTGGTAGATTTTGTTAGGGTTTTTGAATTTAATGGTGAGCTCTCCTCAGCTGCCCTCTTAGTTTAAGAATTCGGAACTTGGAGGGATTTGGTTCATGCGGGCGCCACACGGTTTGAATTTTGGCTTGGAAATACGTGCCTGAGATTTTTCCTTTTTACAGTTTTACCCTCTCTCTTGTATTTGACTTATGTTTTCAAAAATAAAATAAAATTTACCGACATGCCATTCTATATGCAGTTCTATTGCTATACCATCTTAATTTTTAATTTATCTATACAAATATCACTAATTTGTTTATCTAGTTACATATTTAAAATTTTAATTTTTCTATTTTTTATATAAGGCTAATTCAAAAAATCTATAAAATATTAATTTATTTCAGAATATTACAAATTTTAATTTTTATAAAATAAAACATAATTTTTTATATAAATATTTTAATGTGATTTAAATTTTAAAATATTATAAAAATTTAAATGTTAAATATATCAAAACATAAAATGTCAGAGTTGTTATATTATGTATGCATATATTTGATTTAATCCTACTAGCTGAGAGGCATTACAATGCTCGACTCCAATACATAATTAGAGAATTCTAAAGAATTTGGAAGAAGAAGAAAAGAGAATTCTAAAGAAATTGTTTGAAATTTTTTAGAATAATAATCTCATTGCTCATGGACAGTAATATGCCTTTGGGCACCTTTTCAGAGATATTGAAATGCATTTATTTATGCTCTTATTCATAACTTTTTTTTACTAATCATAATTGGGTGTTAATAAGAATGATGAGTACTCCATTGTATTCAACATTAGAGGAGGAAACTATATTCAAGATTGTAGAGTTTGCTTTAGTGACCGAGTTATATTTTGAAGAGTTCCCAATTGCTAATGAGTTCAAGATAATGACAAGTACTAGGTTGTTTGAGATATACTTATGTCGGGATAATAATTTTAAGAATACAAACCTTAAAAATGCTTGAATTAAGTAACACTACAAAAGATAATCTATGAATGATTGATTTGGGCTTCTTTATAGATGGTGTCCTCAGTCGTTATCTTCATTGAAATGGCTCTTATGGCTGAACATGAGGATGCATTCTTTATGTACCCCATGAGGTAGATTAGCATGGTAGAGGACATTGTGAGAGCTTAAAGAGGGGTATAATGTACTATAAGGGATATATAATAAAAAAGAATACTCTGGCCTAGTATATTATAATTGGACATGTAGTATCTCTACATTACTATGCTTATGAAGTCATTCCATGCCTAGGGGTGAGATGTGTTGAGTTCATTAATGAGAGAGATATTAAGGCCACTAAGCTGCAAGAGCAACAAGGTGCTCATAGGAACTGGTTTATTGGCATGACTGATAAATAAAGACAAATGTTTATTTTTCTCACCATTATTTATATAAGGAAAGGATTTATTGGCATGAATATAAAATTGCTCATGATACTTTTTTCCATATTTATCACAAGGAGTTATCCATTCTAACATGGTACATGTAGCACATGAGGACTTATATTAGTTTATTACACAGGACACTATATTAACCTATCAAATTAGGTTTATAAAGAAGAAATCAATCACCTTCACTTTTTATGAGAGAGTAGGGGAGGCAGCAAAAGTTCAACAAGTTACAAGTTTGTTCATTCCATCATAATAAGGGGTGAAGTAGCTTCCTATTATTACTTTAGAGTTGAGAAGTGGCAAAATAAGATTAAGGAATTAAAAAAAAAAAAAAAAAGTAAAAAAAAAAAAAAAAAGATAAGGATGTGGAGGAAGAGATGAAGTTGGAGGATGCCTTGCCATTTTATGCACAAATAAGAAGGGGAAGGGAGTCAAGGGAACATCCCCTTGACATTGAATGTGTAGATCATGAGAGGGAGGATTTAGAGGATCAACCTCTTATCATTATATGTTTAGATAAGGTGGTGGAAAGTCAAACTATTATAATTTAGAAAAAGGGAGATACACAACTTACAGAGTTTAAAAGAAGAGCATACAAGAATAACAAGTACCTCACTAGGGATTTCACATATATGTTAGAAAAAATGCATAAGCTCATAAATCCATACACCATGGATTCTCTTTGCTTGATTGAAGAGGAGCAATTATCCTTACGAAAAAGTCAAAGTTAAAAAAATGCAAAATAATAAGTACTTAATTAGAGTTTTCATAAATCTATCAAGAAAAAGATACAAGCCCATGGATTCATATGTTATTAATCTTCTCCCCTTGATGAAGGAGGAGAAATTATCCTCCTTTAAATTTTATATATTAAAACTAGTTGATAACTCCATGGAAAGGGTGGTATAAGAGTTAAATACTCACATTGCATGGTTAGATATCAATATTAAAAATTTCTTTAACTTATTAAAATTATATCAATATGATTTAAATAATCTTTTTTACTGGCTTCAATTTTTTGTTGCATATTTGATTATTTATGTTACTTAATAAGGGAGCCAATTTGGTGATATATAGACTTATGATCTTGACATAATTATGTTGGATGAATTATTTGATCAATACTATAGATCAGTAGTCTCAATTTTTAAGAAATTTAGGAGAAAAGAGTTATTCAACTGGCTTAATATGGCACTCATTAATATGGCACTCATTAATATGGCACTCATGTATGCCATTACAGATGAGCAAAATTAACTAAAGTTATGGGCTGATGCAAGCCTCATATTTTTTTAATGATTTGAAATAAATTTTATTCGATATATGTGATAATTCACTTCCTTCCAAGTCCATGATAATGTATGATTGTGATCCCTTTAGCATCATGTTATAGACTTTATAGAGTAGGATGATTATATTTTGCAATTGCTTCCCTAGATTGCTTAAATAGTTAAGACTATTTGACAAAAGACAAACACTTACGTCCTTTAAATCTCTCTAGATGTGAAGAAGAATCAACACATATAAGATTGCAAAGGTTATAGTAAGGTAATCCAAATTAAATTATAGAGGAAGTTAACTCAGTATAACTCTATCATATACAGTCTAATGACTACTCTACATCTTATTGCAATGATGGTTGTAGAGTATACACAATACAATATTTGATATATTTTATTTCAAAGAATAATCTTTTAGAGGTTATTAATGATTATGATGGGGGTACTGTGGAATGCAATTTTGAATTATTAAAATATTTAAGCCTCTATATCTCCTAAACAATGCTTAGATTTTCTTTAATATATAAAAATAACATACCTCACTAAATATATGCAAGTATACGCGTCAAATCAAGTAATAAAGTGATAGAGTAAAATGTTAAACCTACTTTTTTTCTTTTTCTTTTTTTTTTTTTAGTTAAAACCCACTGAGGGGCCTACGTGTTAATATCAAATGTTAAACCTACTTGAAAGTATGCTTTTTAGCAATCAACTACTAATGTTTACTTTAATTATAAAATTATCATACTGAAATAAAATTGTTAGTTATGAATAAAAATAGTAAAATAATGGATATAAAATTTAAATAAAATATTTTGGATTGATGAATATAAATTGCATCTTTCCTAGTAAAATTTTTATTTTTAATGTGATTCAAAGTATATGCATTCTTATATCTCTATTGAGCTTGTAGGGGTGAACAGAATATCTGCTAACCTCTTGTAATTATATCATTTCCTTAAGAACCTATTATATTTTTACATTCTATGTTTAGGTATGTAAACATAATATTTTAATATTCCTGATTATTTTTGTATTCATCTGTTGAGGCTATACATCACACTAGATTTTAGCTACATATATGATCACTATGTGTATTAAATAAAGAATGTGATAATATTTAAAACATGATTTTACTTTTAGAGCATAAGAATCTTCATTAGTATTTAAAATATTTTCTACATCATCAATCCAAAATTAGATAATTAGTCAGACATGAAAGAAAAGAAGCAAACTCATTTTCATTGAAATCATAGAAGAATGAAAATATAAGAGAATAATGTCACTATGAAGGATAAATGTGTCTCTCTACACTTCTTATTCCTTAATGTATGAAGTTGCTCAAACAAACATTAACTAAACACTCTAATGATTATATCTAGTATTTTCATAGTCTCTTTTAGTTTGGGCTCCAAGAGAGAGCTAAAGAAGGACTCTAAAAAGTACTGAAATTATGCAAGTGACTAAACTCTATTACAAATATAACACAATGACTATTTATAGTAAAACACAAATTAGACAGCTGGCGCTACAACGCTTGAAAGATTGGTGCCGCAGTGCCCATAAAATGAACTAACGCCGTTACGCTAATGTTTTTGCTCCGCCGCAACATCTGCTGACATGGATTAGTTACTTAGTGAACAGCCGCATTATTTCGCTGATAGATCTATCCTTTAGAAGTTACAACCGCTGCACTACGGTGCTATTGACTTTCGAATGCTATGGTGTCGGAGTAACAATTTTGGCACCGAGGCGTGATAGATTGTGAGACCACGGCGCTTGAAGACAGTGAACATGGCATTGCAAAGTTGACCATTTTGACACGGCGGTGTTGTCCAACAAAGAAGTCAACGCCACAATGTCAATATTGTAGTGCTCTGGTGATGCCTTTGATGGGGTTGCAGCGTTGATTTGTTCGATGTCGCGGCACTGCATGATACTTAGAATTTGGTACATTTTTTTATTTTCCATGCACAACTAAAACAACACATTTTCATTGAAAATAAAACGCATAAAATACTACATTATTTACACTTATCATATTACATACAATTCTTCAATGAATATTTATATAAAGAGTTATTCCATGGCGACAAAGAGCTATTTGTCAAGTTATCATTATGATGTAAAAATTAATTCTTCATGTATATTTATTATTTTATTAAATTAATTTATAGAATTTTATATTAATTAATGATGTAACATGGATGATGTGGATGGATTTATAGTTTATTAGTTTAAAGAGTATAGATGAATTAGCACATTAGTTTATAGAACTATTATGGATGATGCGAATGTTGTTATTTATGTTATAAATTTACACGTTAATTCTCTTATTATCAGTTTACAAAAGTTATCAAATTTAATCTATTGTGTCATAGTTGTTTAGATACAATTCATA